CTCCTACTCTAGTAAGCCTCAGCCGGAAGGCACTCAGCTTCAGTCCCATGGGTCAGCAAGTCCCAGCTTCCTCGATTAAGTGCCCAGAGGCACCCCACGCCACAAGCCAACTTTATGCCCCAAAGATCTCCATTGTGGGTTGGGAATTCACTCTTTTTTCTTATTCTGGCTCCTGGTTCTGATTCTCTGATATCACAGCTGTCTTCTGGATCCAGGAGGGTCACTGCACAGGGATCTTGGGGTCCAGAGGGAGTGCTCCACTCCTGGCTCTTGCTGATAAGGAGAACTCCTTTGCTGAGTTTCAGAGGGCTTGTGTTAGGGTTCTCTAGAGAGATAAAACCAAATTGCTGATAATATATTTATTTATAAAGATAATTAGATATATAACAAGAAATGAACTGTTAAATCATATACAGATAAATATATAATACTGTACAAGAAATGAACGGTTAAATTATAAAGCACTACAAATGGCTCACTGCAATTCACTCCCGTGAGAGAGTGTTGTGAGAGACTAGCAGTCCTTCAAGTCTAGTCTGCTGCCAGATCTTCCTCTATTTATATAGAGAGATAGGCTATGTCAGCACAGCAGCCAATCACAAGGCAGGTTACCAACTGCCAGCCAGGTCTCCAATTGCCAGTCCCCAGCTCCAGAGATGTCTTAAAGGGACCTCAACTTACAGCGACACAGTCCACAGGCTAGGCGTCCCACAGGTAGTGTAGCCTTAAATTGAGGCACAGAACAAGCAAGGTGGCCGCACATTGGTCCGATGATCAAAGAGCGAGAGACAAAAAAGATGAGGCTCACCAAGCCATTTATCTCTCTGCCCTTCAGTTAATCCCACTTGTGTTTATAGGCCAGGCTGGCACAATAAACTATCTCAGAGCTCATGTTATACCCAGCAGGATGGCATTCCAATGAATCATGGTCACAATTATTGACAGGAGAATTCTATCAGTATCTCCCCACATCTTCATCTTCTTACCTAGACCCACGCAGGGAAAAGGTCGACTGGTGGGAGTTAAGAAACTATCTAGAAGGGCCACCTTAAATAATTCACTGCCCCTGCAAACCAAACTCAACTGTACCATGAGAAGATCCAACTCATGTTGACCATATAGGGCAGGGTAGTACTGTGTGTCAGTCTGGGTAGCTAGAGAAACAAACCCAGGACACTCGTGTATATGTAAGAGACAGCTTTATATCAAAGAGTAAATCTATATCCAGAAAGCATCCCAACCCAGTACAGTCCAAGCCCATACATATGATCTTAGCCCATATGCCCGATACCATTCTATAAAGTCCTTTTCAGATTCATGAAACACATGCAATGACACTGAATGCAGGACAATCACAGGCCAGTGGGTAGAAAGTTGTTGGATCCAGTGGCGTTGTAAGCATCTCAGTGCTGGCAGGGTCTCTACGTGGCTTCTCTGGCTGGAGAGGTCTGGTTGCATCAGGGTAGGTCCATGTGCACTGGTGTAGTTTCATGTGTCTTGTCAGCTTCAATGTCTCCCAGGGAGTCAGCAGAGAGAGAAAGTATCTCCCTGTCTCCAAGGAGGAAAACCAATAGTTCCCAGAATTCTCAGGAGAAGGCCATGCCCACACAGAGGTTTCATTGGCTATCTCCGGATTGACAGGCTAGACTCCACCTCTACACTCTTAATCTTCAAATTGACACCAGATTATGTAACCACATACTGCTTCTGTGAGTTTCTGAGACTGGGGAAACCCGGCTTTCAATTGGGAGTAGAAAGTCCCATCTTTCTCTTGTGGAGTGACTGGTGGTTTGGAACTGTGATGAGCAGCCCTACCATAAGCACTGCACCTCACCCACTGCCATTGGGTGATGCCAGCTCATAGCAACCCTATGGCAGGATAGAGTGCCCTTGTGGATTTCTGAGACTGAAAACTCTTTTTGGAAACATGAAGAAAGCTCTGTCTTTCTCCCATAAAGCAGCTGGTCATTTAAAACTACTGATCTTGAGGTTAACAGCCCAGCACATCTCAACAGCACCACTAGGGCCCCACTATGACTTCTAATGATCCTAAAGGACAGAGTAGAACTGGTCTACAGGGTTTCCAAGGCTGTAAACCTTTATGGAAATAGACAGCAACATCTCGGTGGAGTTGCTGGTGCATTTGAACTGCTGGCCTTTTGGTTAGCAGCCAATTGCTTTAACCAATGCTCCACCAGAATTTTCTTGATATAGCAACAGTGATTATAAAATATTTACCACTAAAGATAATAATTTATAAGATCTATCAGAAGAAAATAATAAATTGTTATTGAATGACATTAAACAAGAGTGGAGGAGGGAATGGTAGAATAGAACTGCTAATCTTATGGTTAGCCGAACAAGTGTAACTCACTATGCCACCAGGATAGGAGGAATAACATTTAAAAAATATCTATTTTATCAAAAGTAGAGATAAACTGACAATTTTCAGTAAAATTCTGAAAAAGTTTTTATTCTTGGAATTGGATCAAATATTAAATTTTATATGAAAATATCCCCAAAGCTCCAAACTCACTGTCACTGAGTTAATTCCAATGCATGACAGCTCTCATAGGGCATGGTAGAAGTACCTGTGTGGGTTTCTGAGACTGTAACACTTTATGGGAATAGAAAGCCTTGTCCTCCTTCTATAGAGTGACTGGTGGCTTTGAACTGCTCACCTTGAAGTTAGCAGCCCAACCTAAAACCACCATACCTCCAGGCCTCCCTAAAGAGATGAGAACGTTTTGAAAAAGAAAACTAATTGAATGACTTGTATTCTTAGCTATCAAAACTACTATAAAGTTAAAATACAAAAATCTGTGGCAGACTGGTGGTTCAGAAGAGCTGAACAGAGAATCAACAAGTAGAACCAAGTCCCCATGAGACTTTATTATATTTATCCAGAATATATTTATCGCACACTATATCTCAAGTTTGGGCATGAGAAAATATAGCATTGCTATTTAGAGAGTGAAAGAATAGATAGTTTAATAACCAGAGTTAGAAAAACTGGCTATTCATATGGAAGAAAAGAAAATTAAATCTCTCTCACATGGTCCACACAAATATATTCCACTGTCAAAGTGCCATTTAAAAAGAAATTAAAAGCTTGACTTTCAAACAAACATAAAGCCCAAGTTAAAGATGTGAAGCCCATTAATGAGGAGCCAATAGGATGATGAGCTGGCTTAAAGAACGTTGGAAGAATAGAGATTTATATAGTTACAGACTGAAGACTAGTAAATTGTTAAGTTGAAACAAGCTCACTAAATTAGAGACAAAAATAGGAAGAACAGGGATTTATATAGTTACAGACTGGAGACGAGTAACTAGCAAGTCGAAACAAGCTTACTAAATTAGAGACAAAATAGTTTAAAGTCCTACAGATATAGAAAAATCACAACTTTGGAATTATTTTACTTGTTGGAAAGAATTTGTGTCTCTACTGGAGGAAATCCTAGAGTTTAGCATGAAAATTCACAGCTTTGGTCCTCCGTGGAGGTGTGTGTGTATGGCGGGGGGGGATCAAGTTCACTGCCATTGAGACAATTCCAACTCACAAGTGACCCTGTAGGGTGGAGTAGAACTGCTTCTGTGGATTTCTGATTCCATGGGAGTGGAAAATGTCATTCCCCCCCTGAGAACAGCAGGTAGTTTCAAACTGCCGACACCGTGGTTAGCAGAGCAATGAGTAACGCATTATGCTACCACGATTCTGTCTGAGCCCTAATCAGTAATAAATAATAAGTCAAAAAATAGTACATCTCCTTGTCTCTAGGGCCTAGAAAGTGAAACAGGCCTTTAGGGGGCCTGATAGACAATGCTCTAATAAGGCAGTGAAAGGACAGACAATCCTATTTTTGCTGTAGTTCTAAATTCTGGAAATTTTTTCTTAGTATCAGATGGAATAAAAGTATTTTTTTAAAAATTCATTTTATTGGGGGCTCTTACAGCTCTCAAAGCAATCCATAGATCAATTGCATCAAGCACATGTGTACATATGTTGCCATCATTATTTTCAAAACATCTTTCTACTTGAGCTCTTGGTTCCTCTTTTTTCCCCACCCTCGTTCACCCTCCCATCCTCATGAACTCATCACAAATAATAAATTATTATTTTCATGTCTTACACTGTCCACTGTCTTCTATCACCCATGCTTCTGTTGTTTGCCCACATCAGGGGTGTGGGGAAGTTATTCATCGATCATTATGATCAGTTCCTCCTTTCTCCCCCATCTTCCCCTACTCATTATATCACTAATACTCCCATTACTGTTCCTGAGGGGTTTATCTGTTCTGGATTCCATGTGTCAAGAGCTTTTATCTGTACCAGTGTACATGCTCCAGTCTAGCCAGATTTGTAAGGTAGAACTTGGTCATGATAGTGGTGGGGAAGGGGGGAAGCATTAAAGAACTAGAGAAATATTGTGTGTTTTGTAGGTGCTATACTGTACTCTGACTGGCTTGTCCCTTCCTTGTGACCCTTTTGTGAGCGGATGTCCAATTTTCTACAGATGAACTTTGGGTCTCCACTCTGACCCACCTCGTTTGCATTGATATGATTGTTTGTTGTTTGGGGTTTTCTATTGCTTCATAATCACATAGGCTGGTATGCTTCTTCCATGTGGGCTTTATTGCTTCCCAGTTAGATGGCCACTTGTTTAACTCCAAGTCTTTAAGACCCAGACACTTTATCGTGTAATAGGCAGGCATTATCAGCTTTCTTCAGCACATTTGCTTATGTACCCATTTTGTCTTCAGCGAGTGTGTCAGTAAGGTGAGAATCACAGAATGCCAGGTTATTAGAACTAAGTGTTCTTGCGTTGAGGGAGAACTTGAGTAGAGGCCCAATGTGAGATGAAAAGTTTTAAATGTAGACCATAAAGCAATTGTTAAAACCTGTAAGAAAATCTAAGAGACACACAATTCTGAGTGTGAAAGGATTTTTACTAAAAATGGATGCTCAGAAACTATAAAATAGATGCAATGTGGAGACTCTGCCTGGCCGAGGTCGCTGCGGTGCGGAGACCCCCGGGGCGAAGCCAGCGTCACCATGTCTGACCAGGAGGCAAAACCTTCAACTGAAGACTTGGGGGATAAGAAAGAAGGCGAGTACATCAAACTCAAAGTCATTGGACAGGATAGCAGTGAGATCCACTTCAAGGTGAAAATGACAACACATCTCAAGAAACTCAAAGAATCATACTGTCAAAGACAGGGAGTTACAATGAATTCACTCAGGTTTCTCTTTGAAGGTCAGAGAATTGCTGATAATCACACTCCAAAAGAATTGGGAATGGGGGAAGAAGATGTGATTGAAGTTTATCAGGAACAAACGGGGTCATTCAACAGTTTAGATATTCTTTTAATTTTTTTTCTTTTCCCTTAATCCTTTTTTATTTTTAAAAATAGTTCTTTTGTGATGTGTTCCAAATGGAATTGAAAACTGGCACCTCTCTTGCAAACATCTGGCATTTCAAATCCTAGTGCTCAGTGTTCATTAGCGTTTTCTCATTGTGCTGACGTTTGGTGATCAAACCTCAGCCCCTCATAATGTCCTCCTCTTCTTCACAGTGACCTGTGTGCACTGAGAGTCCCCTTGCCCAGGGCTGTGCATTTGCAGGCTGGTGGAATAAATAAGACCAACCATTGCAAGTGTTCACAATGACTTTCCAATTGGCCCTGAAGTTCTAGCATTTGATTGCTTTGCTCCTGGACTGACTTTCAGTGGGAGATGGAAGTTCTTCAGAGAACTGAACTGTGGAAAATGACCTTTCCTGAACTTTTGAAGCTACTCTGAAAATCTGAGAGTCTGGACCAAAAGAAGAGGCCTCTCCAATTGGAGTCCTGGTGACAAATGGAGAGTAGTGACTAGCTCCAAAGATGGCGTCACTGAAGAGATAAAGCGTTTTAAGATGGAGATGAAAATCTTGTCAGAAGACCCCAG